AGGACGTGGGATAAGGTGGTCGATAGGTCACTTTTTTTACACTGAATGCCACAAAATATGGTAACTGTCATGGTGAACAATTTTTTTGTGCTTCTTCCCATGATGGATGGCTTGATGACCATGCGATTATTTTTTTATCTGGYCATGCAAACATCATTATATTCGTCGTCTCAAATACTTTTTTTTAGACAAAAAACTATTATAGAGATGGCATTTTTCAAACAAGATTTTTTTTTCCATTTTTTTTTTCTAATTAGATCAAAAATCAGTATCGCGTTTTTTTGATTTTCATAGTGTTCAAAGAGGTTTAAAAAAAATATTGAAATTTTTTTCAAAAGGATAGAACTCAAATAACTTACCCCAACACGTTCGTCTTTTCAGAGAACTGAAATCTTAATATATAAAAGATTTTTGTGATGTTTCTTTTTTTGCTGAAATAAGACTGTTCTAACGGCAAACTTCACAGTCAACTTTTTTTTTCTTTCTGCTGTTGCATCATTAAACTGCGATTTTTTAACAGTTTTTTTTGCTGTGATATATTTTAGCTGTTAGATTAGCCTGGTGGTCAGTTTTTTTTTGCCCCTTGAAGCTGGTGCTGCACAGTCCTTGATCAAACACGTTTTTTTCACTCGATCGTCACTCGATCGTAGCCATTACTGTGTCATTAATTTTTTTCTGGTCCGCATACAATCACCCCTCTTCCTCTCTCCCTCCCCCCTAAATGCTGGCTCCCTTGAGGATCCTAGGACACAGAGCAATGCAAAAATTTTTTTGGAATTTTAATGGACGCCAAGACTAAAATTTAATGCGTGGCGTTTTTTTAATGTTTACACCTCGATTACTTTTAAAAATCAGATTTTTCTTTTTTTTTAAAGTTTACGGGACGGTCTTAAAATACGGCAGCTTTCTTCTTTTTTTTTACAATAGATTATAAAAAATGTCTGATATAAATCATTAACGGATTTTTTTATAATTACATCGATGATGGGGCGTAAAACCAGAGGGGGGGGGTTTTTTTACATAAAATTGATGCCAAGATAGGGGGCTCAAAGTAAAATTATTTTTTTAACAGAGGGGGGTCTTAAGTTTTATTCAAAATGTTCATTATTTTTTTTTTCTTAAATTCAATGTAAATTATAACAACCATAATTGTAGAAAAGGACAAAAACAACTTTAACTGACAATTAGAATGATAGATATTGCTTTTTTTTTTTTAAGAAGGTTTATCAACAACACTGATCATTTTRAATCTGCTATTTTTTTCTAGTTAGGTTATTTATCTTTTTTATGAAAAATCTATTATGATTTTTTTCGGGATTGAAATTGACCAAGATAAATATAGATTTCTTAATGGTTTTTTTCCATGCTTTTGTCAAGGGACGCAAATCTACTACCACTACCACTTTTTTTTTTTGATGATGAGATGGTGAACAAGTTACTATGCAAAGCTACTTTTTTTCCAAACCGGAAGCTTTGTGATTGGTTGAAACGTTTTTTCACGTTTTTTTAAGTCGTTTCGCGTTACTGATTGGCCAAAAAGCATTCAGCGCTTTTTTTGTTTTCAATAAGATTGTACGAGAAAATCTCAGTATGTATAAATTTTTTTAATTTTTTTTTCAACTATTGATTTTTTCAAGATGTAGAAGCTTTTTTTTATATTAATGATTTATTAGACATAACAAGCACAAGTAATCGCATTTTTTTTTTTGACTATAAAAGTGTTACATACTTTACTAAGCATTTTTTTTTTTTTGAAAACCTTTACCAGGAACAAAATTATTTGAAAGAAGCAAGGTTTTTTTATTTGCTTGTGAGAATGTCAACAATGTAGCCGGTAAAATCCAT